TGATATGATTATGATGGTATGACGTTGGTATTTTGGGGAAACTCACTAAGCCTTGGGCTTACAGTTGTTGATTTTGTTTCAGGTACTTCTGATGATCGCGGGAAGGCGAAGACGTGATTGTGCACCTCCTTATGTTTTTATGATTTGATTCTGAGATACTCTGACATTAAACCATTTTGAAAACATGTTTGTAACAATTATCGGTTCTTGAATGTTTTAAAAAGTTTTAAATCGGCTTGAATTTTATGGATGTTACATTTTGATTAAAAACAACGATCATTTTGAAGACTCTACACATAAGCTTATGCATATAAACCTTACTAGGTTATAACCCGTGGACACCACAAGTGAGAAAGTTAAAAATAATTTTATATAAATTATAACTTAAATATTGAGAAATGATCTTAAAAAAATTGAATAAGTGAAAAAAATATAGATGTTTTGTGAGTAATTTCATAATGATGTAATGAGTGGTTGAAATTACGAAAACATGGTGAGTTTTGACTTTCAACAAAATTTTGAGAAGATTGATTTGTTGGAAATCCTAATTTTGAGTTCCGTGTTTTCGCCCTTAACGAGTTTTTGAGAAGATAGAGTTGATTGCGAATGGAAGGTTTACGAGAGGCAATTGCAAATGGGTAGCACTGTTTTTTTTAAGAACTACTCGATTCGAGGACTTGATAACGAAACTTTGAAAAATCATGAAGTTTTCGACATGATATCCAAGTTTTTGACATGATAACGAATTTGCTTCTAATATTCGATTCTGATATCGATTTTTTTTTTCAAATAACATTTCATAAATCTCATTTTTGTTTCTTCTCTTTTCTTTTGGTCTGATTCTTAAGAAAATCGAAAAACACAAAAAGATTTTTGTCTTTGTTCTTTGTTCTTTGAAACCTCAGAAAAACCCCGAAAAACTCAAAAACATTTTTGTTTTGTTCATTTTTTTTTGTTTGAAGCCTCAGAAAAATTTGAAAAATCAAACATATCGAGTTTCAGTTTATTCTTGGAGGTTTTGGATGTTGGACTTTGCTCAAAGTTTTTGAGTAACGAATTATGTTCTACTTCTCACTTGTGAAAGTTGTTTCAAGTTATCTTTTGCGAATATTTCTTGGAAAGTTTGAGTGTTGAAATTTGAAGACCTAGTAGCGAAAGTGCTATTTTTTCGACATTGAAGACAAATTTATGAGTGTCAAGATGTCGAATATCTAAAGACTTAAATGTCGAGGTATCGAGGGGGAGCACTCGTTATTTCAATCTCATGGGGGAGCACTCGACATTTCAAACTTGTTACAAGTGGGAGCACTTGAGTCGAGACATCATTTGCAAATGCACTATTCATCATTCCACTGATTATGATTTTCGCATCTGACTCATTCAGAAGTTACTGTTCACATTCATAGGTTCGCAACCCTTCGTTTCTGCAAGTCTCGTTGCCCCATTAAGAGAGTCGACGTTTTTAGATCTGAGCATTTTTTGGAAACTTTTTAGCATTTAGAGAAAAAAATGTATATACCATAAATTATGTAAGAAACCACTAAAACAAACAACGATGTTCAACAAATGTTTCAATCTTCCAAACTAGAATCTCAAACTACCAGCATGAAAAATAAATTTGTAGTGTAAATAAACAAAAATGTTCAAACTTCATCTTAAAATTAAAACTCAACCAATGTTTTTCGATTTAACTTTCACAATTTGTTTACCGTGTTCCCAAATATCAAAAATACTTTTGAACTGAAACTTGTGTATGAAATCATAATGCTCACAAACTTGATTGGGTGGAATAGGTGTATGTGTATTCGAAGAGGAATCAAAGGGATCATCTCCATCTAAATTGTTTTTTGTAAAAAATGATTAATATTAGTCACATAAAAGGTAATTTTAGAAATAAAATTTTAAAACATAAATTATATTTTTCTTGAAAACATTGATCTCATCAATGTCAGTGTTAATAAAAAGCTTTATCATAGAAAAGTATGTGTTAATTGTGGGATGATCTAAGTGTTATTTTAATTATTATAAAATAACAATTAATATGAAAATAATTTTACCTCTTCAAACATTACACATTGCAAATTGAAGGATAACAATGATACAAAAATCATACGAATTGTTATCAATCAAGTCTTGCATTGTGTAAGCATAATGACCCCATAAAGTGACACAAATTATTAAACTGAGTCAAAATAAAACAAATAGAAGAACACACCTTTTGTTATGATAAATCAGATTGAAGTTGTCAAAGAAGGTTTGAAACAAAATAACGTTTGCAAATAAAATCGAGAAGTAGAATCGTGGATCGTCGATTGTGAATGAATAATATATGCATATGCATTTATTTGAACCTGATTATTTGGGATTTAAATTCCGAAAATTTTGAATTTGGTGCATTTCAGTTTTGTCTAGATTTTTAGTTCCTTTTTGTATTAGAGATATATTTTTGGTATAATAGAAATTAATTCAAATTTTTTTATTAATTTCAGGGATATGATATAAACCGAAGATAATTATATTATTGACGATTGAAGATAATTATATGAAAACCGAAATTGCACCAAATCCGGCAACTGAAATTTGGGGTTACGGATTTGATATTGATTGATGAATTGGGGGGAGAAAACAGAAAGAATTGTAGAAGAGAATGTCACGTGGCAGAAGGCTTGTCTAAACGATAGACACATGACATCTACAAGAAATTTTTATTAAGAATGAAGATGAAGATATTCACTTTTTCCTTTTATTGATATGAAAATCTCTAATAATAATATATTTAATTTAATAATTAACAGTTTTTTTTAACAACAAAATTTATTAGAGAGTGACCAGTAGAGCTGGACCACAAAAAAGTATAGAAAAATAGAAACAAAAGAAACAGAAAAAAAAAACACAAACAAAATTATAGAAACTAAACTAAAACAAAAAAGAAGAAGATGATGTTTAATCGTAATAGAAGAGTTTAAGGCAAATGTAAACGGATGGCAAGGAAAAAACCAATAGATTTCGATAGTCCAATACTTCAAAGATTTGGTCTCCAATGATACAATAACAATTTCATTAGATTTTAACGAGGCAGGACAAAAGATAAAATTAAAATAAAAATTCAAGGATGATCTCTATTTGAAATTGTGATAAATAGTCTTTATTCAAAAAAATCATACAACCTCACAAATCATTTATGTGATTTACTCTTTATTTTAAAAACTACACTAGACTTTACATATTATTCAATTACATATCTTAGTTTTTTATATTGAGAATGAAAAATATTTGGCACAAAATTTAACATAATTCAATTTACCTTAATCAACTCAAAACACATTAATCTTGTTCAATTTAGTTATGAATAGTTTAGAATTATTAAAAGTCTATTTAAATCGAACCAATAAACCAACTAAATAATACGTGACACATTAACCAATAAACCAATTAAATAATACGTGACACATTAGCCTATCAAATATATCGAACCAAATCAAACATCACGTCAAAATTAGTCCATTCGCAACAGAGAAATTGTACATCGTCATCCATGTCATCATTTTGATTTGATTGTGGATTCTTATAAGAAAATTTTTTCTAAAAATTTAATATTTTTATTATAAAAACCGAATTGTACTAAAAGAAAATTATTAAAAGGAAACTATTATATATATATATATATATATATATATATATATATATATATATATATATATATATATATATATATATATATATAATTTTTTTCCCTTTTCTTTAAATTTGATATATAATTTTTAATTTTTTTTATTAGCAAGTAAAATCAAGATTCAAAAAATATATTTAGTTGTTAATAAGTTACTAAAACTAGTATTTTTTTTTTTTTTTTTTTTTTTGTTTTTTTAAAGACATATAAGTCCTCTCTTATTATTGTTTTTCAAATTTAAATATCATTGAGTGTATGCTGAATATAATTTTAAAATTATACTAATGAATGGTTGATAATGTTAACCTAAAAAAGTTTAGATGGAGGATAAGACTAGCAAAAAAGGGGTATATATGCAAAGTGGGTGCACCCTCCATCAACAACGTTCTTTCCCTTTCTACAAGTCATAATATTGGCCATTTGGCCATTTTGAAACTTGTGGAAACTATGTCATGATACGTGGACACATTTCCTCCATCCACGTGTACAACGATTATCCTAGCTCCAACTATTTAGGCCACATTTTTAACGTCTGGTTCTCATACTTCCCAACTTAAATGCTCTAATATAGACACACACACCCATGACGAGTTCCACCCATGCCTTGCTATCTTATGCCTTTAATTTCTTTATAAATATCCATCTATATCTTCATTCCACATATAATTTAGATTTTAAAAGAGCACTAAATGTTTATATTTAATCAATTTATGTAATAAAGTTGCTTCTGTATGAAATGTATACTAACGTTTCATTCTACGATTAAAATACGAGACATCATACATGTAACATGTTTAACTAGTTGGAATATGCTTGTGTAATTCTTATCATTTGTATAAATTGACAAAAATATGAAACAATATTACATAACTTGTAGAAGAAATAAAACATTATTGGAAAAGAGTTACATAACTTGTAGAAGAAATAAAACGATGATTGACCTGATTTATAGGATTCTTAACAGACTTTATTTTTTTATTTTTTTATTTTTTTATTTTTTATTTTTTAAATTCAACGTCGTTAGCTAACTAGTGGCATATTTTATTCAAACAAACTACTTTGTTGTATTAATAAAAAAGCTTGTTGGATAAACAAGCATTTAAATTATTAAAAAGTTAAAGAAAAATATTGAAAACCTAATTCCTCGTTTTAAAATTCAACTATAATAAGTTTAATAATACACTAGATTGAATATATCATAGATATATTTCCTTCATCCGAAAAGACACGTTAGGATATATAATATTAATCACAAGACAACTTAAAACAAAATACATTGATCCATATCTATTACTTCTGTCATTTCGGATTAAACTAATTTTATATTCCCCTTAGAGTTATTTCTAAAAGTAATTATATTTAACAAATTCAAACCGCATATATTCCCCTTTGATAATTGTTTTGGTCAACCAGAACATTTTCATTTTTCAGGTTTTAATAATTAAAAGAAGAATTTAGAGAAGGAGGTGGGGCCTACAATGGCGGACTTGTATTTGCCGCGTAAAAATATCATAAAACAAAGTCCTCTTTTATTCTGCTGTATATATACAGCTACAACATGTAGCACCTCTTCAATTTCCAACACAATTCTCTCTTACCCCTTTCCCCCAGAAAACCCTCCTCTTCTTTCACTCGATCAGATCTCACCATCGCCATGAAGAAACCAAGCTTCTTAGCAGCCTCTATCGCCGCCGCTTCCGCCACAACTGCCATCACTACCTCTAATCGCAAAAACCAAACCTCTCCCCAGGTAAATCATTACGAAAATCATCTCGATTTTTGTTACTTCACCTTCCGTTTTGTCCTTATTCCTTATACAATTCCTTCAATCTGTTTCGAACTTTTTACAGGGTCATGGATCATCGAGCAATTATAATGAAGATTCGTCGCCGGAGAAGAAGAGTTGTTGCTCGGAGAAATTCGCGCCAAGGTTTGATGGATTGAGGTTTATTGAAACTCTGGTAACCGCTCATCGATAACAGTAAGCCTTTGAGATCGCCGATTTGATTAGATATTTAGATGATTAGATCCGTTTTTCTGTTTCTTGTGGGTTAAGTTTGTTCGTGCTTCGATACTCCATAACCATACATTTGGGTTTGGGCTAAAGGCCTTAAACAATGTTAGTTTTTGTATTGTTGGAGTGATAGGCTCCACAAATGTAACATTAGTTTGGATTTTATTCAACATATTTTAGTTATATTCCCAAATCTCCAAGCATGATATCGAAACTTATTTTCACATCAAGTTTTGTTTAAAAAATTTCAATTTTAGATTATTTTGGTGCTGGAAAATGTTATTAACATCAAATTTGTTGTTTTATACGTTATGAATTGAATTGATATTAATTTATTATATATGATATAATAGGTTAATTATTATATTTTAAACTTATTTAGTAATTAAATATATCTCTAAATAATTTAAAATAATATATTTAGATAACACGTGTAATTGAATCTATTTCAGACAAAACTGCAAAAATGGTAAGTGTGGTATGCAATTATTTTGAGATTTTAGTTCAAACTACGAGTTTTTTGGATTCATCCTTCTTTTGTGGTAGTTTGTTTGTGATATTGGTTTTTCGGTAAACTGAAAAGATTAAATTGCCCTTATTATATTTATTTTTCAATTTTTTTTTCTTATAAGTATTTATATATATAAAATAAAAATAGGGGCCAACATACTCTCTCTTTCTCTCTTTCACACGCACATACACACACTCTCTCTCTATATGACCAATCATTTTAGTTATTTTAAAAAAAAGTAATTAATGCATATTAAATGCTGAAGATGTAATTAATATCTATTATATCTTCAACATATAATATGCATTAATTACTTTATTAAAATAACTAAAATGATTGGTCCATAATCAATCATATATGCACACAATAGATAGTGAAAACAAAATAACCTAATCTTTTATATATATATATATATATATATATATATATATATATATATATATATATATATATATATATATATATATATATTTTTCTCCGATTTGCTATCAAAGAAACCATCGGAGTGGTTGCAAATTCCAACGAGATCGAAAGGGACAAGAGCCGTCGCTCCCCTCTTCTTCCTCTGTTGCTTGGAGCCGCCAAACGCATCGAGGATTGTCGAGAAAACACAACCCCGAACACCTCCTTCCTCACATAATTGTTGGATCAGAAAAGAAAGAACAGTCTAGAGGCTGTCGGAGCAACTATGCGGCTATTACTATCCTTCTCAATATCTACACCCCAATTGAAGGCCGGATTTCAATCCCACCCTCCACCTTGGCCCTTTCTTAAGTCACTAATCCACCTTGGCCTTTTTTTTTCCCTTTAAGTCGACTTTAAAGCCAAACACCCTCTCTTAAGTCGCTAATCCGCCTCGGCACTTTTTTCCTCTCGCGTTTTCTCTCGGACAAGAGGAGTGCATCCTCCCTTGTTACCGTAGATGACAGCGACCACCATAGTTGCCGCCAGTGATGAAGAGTAAACCCATAAAGGGTTGCCGATCTAGATGGCCCCCCTTCTCCCTCCTCATGATTTTTGATCCACCACCAGACAACCTCTCTTGCAGCTTTGTCTGTTCTTTTCTCAATTTGATGAAAACAAAGGCGCCTTCCTTTTTTGATTTTTGATCCACCACCAGATGATTTCTCTTGTGTGTTTTTCCTTCGGTTGCAGTTTAGAAGAAGGGGGATTTTACGACAAAAGTCATCTCTACCATGATTTCTCCCTCTGATGAGAGAGAGAGAGAGAGAGAGAGAGAGAGAGGTGGGCCCCATAATTTTTATTAATAAAACTTTAAATTAAATAGCAAAAACCATAAAAAATTCATAAGAAGGTCATTTTAGTCCTTTCAGCTTTTTGAAGGATAAAAAACACAACGAAACTAGTTCAAAAGGACCACCAATCCAAAAAAATTGTGGTTTGGACTAAAACCCCCAAAAAAAGTATACCACACAGACCATTTTTGCAATTTTGTCTTTTTTTTTTGAACTTTATATCTACGTAACTGATCGATTTTGATTTTCCTCTCTACTATTTACCTACATCTGTTAGTTGTTAGTTATCAATTTATTTCTTATATTCAATTTATCGACTTCTTGATTTCGAGATATATGGCTTCTTGCTAATGTTTTTGGTTTATTGATTTAAGATAACATGTTTTGTTATTTTCCACTCTTATCGAATGCAATACAAATTATTTGTCTAGTCCGGTCAAGTCCTGTCGTGTTTAGTCCGGTTCATTCATCTGTTGTGTTTAGTCCAGTCATCTGCCAAACGGTACCTAAAATTCATATTTGTATCTAAACTTATAGTTTCATTAGGATTAAATGAATTTAATATTAAAAACATATTTAAAATTCAAAATTCTATATTATATACTAAAGTACCCTTCCAAACTAAAGGTTTAGGATTACACCTAATTAAATATTAAAAAACTTCATTTTGTTTTTATCCTCTTCTCGTGGCGTTGTTTTTCTCATCTTCTTCTCCACGATGTTTCGTCTTTTCATCCCAAGGTCTAGACTTGCGCCTTTTCTCCCCTTTTTCATTGCAAGTTGCAGAGTTACTCTTCAACATTCGATTTTTTTGGCATTCAGTTAATTGGGAATGAGATTGTTTTTGGTGAGCTATGGTTCTTCTTTATATTTGGTCCACTAACTTGCATAAATTTGAGTTATTGTAACTATATGATCATATATGCAAATATTTGGAATTATGTGCTATGATATAAAAGATTCAAGGTTGTTACTTCCATTCCCAGATGGTTCTGTCCCAATATACGCTTTGATGGTTGCTTTGTTGAAGTTAGTTGCTACTGTGAGTCCCTCATCAAAAATACATTGCTATGTTTTGGTGATCAGAACTGAAAAATCGACCCTGTTATGCAAAATTACCATTGCTACTATCTCAATTTCAACATTAAATTATCATTTTAACCTCAAGAAATTACAAAACTAAAAAAAATGAAACTCTTTCTTTAAAAATGCAAAAAAAAAAAAAAAAAAAAAAAAAATCCTAAGAAATACCTAAGAATTCATCCAAATGAACGATTAAAACAAATACAAATACATCAGTTTTTTTTAATGTGGTTTGCATTTCACATATTGGTCTTGCTTAAGCAAATTGAACAAGAATTCATGATAGTAACCAATGACCCATAAAGGATACCCAACCAAATTTATGAGCAACAAAATGTAATTTTATTGTAATACAGTTAGATAAACTTAATACTTATATACATATATCATCAGACAAAAAGTCAAACATACACATGATCAAGATATCCATGGGTACCCACAACTCGTATGGCTACGTAAAAGAAGAAAAAAGAAAAGAAAAAAAACGAAAGTATATGATCATAAGAAACTAAGGGTCTTATTGGTTAGCAAAATGATTTTAGAAGATATGGAATTACAATCTGCCATGTGTTCACTTGCTAGGAAATGAAATGTATTTCAATTATATTTCTTAGTTGTTTTGTGTCTGGTTAAGAAAACTGTCAAGGGGAAGAAGAAGAAGAAACTCTCTGTTGTGAAGTAAAATTAACTAGTGTTTTACCCGTCCGTTGGCCGAGTATATTGATGGAAAAAAAAATAGAAAGATTTTATTTTCTTGTATAACATCGGCTTTCATTTGTTCCAATTATAACATTGTACTATGAAGTTAATTATTTTTTTGTACATATATGGTTCATTTGTTCCAATTATACAAACATATTTTTATTCATTATACTGGCCTACATTCATTGCAGTTATTTATGTCAGTTAACCTAACTGTAAATTCAAGTACAATCGCATTAGAGGGTTAACTACAACAAATAGAAATGCACTTCCATTGATAATTCTTGTAATCAACCCAAATATGGGCTAAATGCGTTAAAAAGCAATGTACTTTCATTTTTTTTTATTACTAAAATAACACATTTCTCACATTTGTATTATAAAAAAAGATTACTTATATGTAAAATATTTCAAACTAAATCATTGTAATTTAAAAGTATATTGCTATAATTCATTGGAATTAAATAGCAATATACTTTAATATAGACACAATCACAGTTAGCCCACATTACTATGAGCTTAAAAACAGTTAGAATGCTATTCAAACAAAGTAAATCACTATACTCGTGGTTTTCACAAGATATATCGCTACTTAGTTACCACCTGCATAGAATGATATAAAGTTCATCATAAAATAATTGATTTTTAAAGTTTAATAAATCATAAGAAATACGTTATAACTTGTTTTCATCATCATTTGAGTTGGTCATAGATTTAAAAGATTTACGGCATAAATTCAAGAGTTATGAATTGTAAACACGCACACATAGACACACACACCCACACCCCAGTCTCCATTTTGTGAAATGACATTTAACGGAAGTCTAATAGTTTTAGATAAACTAGTAAAAAAAACCTGGGCTGGCCCCCAGGTCGGTATTTTTTTAAAACCTTTTTTTCCAATTAAGGCATCATACTTTGAAAGGTTCATTTTTACCTATAGTAGCAACGTTCTTAGATAATACTACAAATACTTTATTTGATATCTATTCAATCATTGGTAATTAAATATGTGTTGTCATTTGAGGAAAATAAGACTCTATAGTAGAATATCAAAGGGAGGGGGGGGGGGGGGGACCAAAAGCAACAACTCTACAAACTAATGTGGCAAAAACATGAGGTGCCACATTTGGTAAATGCCAGGGACTAAAAGGGGAAAACTCTTGAACCCTTTGTAACATCACATTTTCACAACCATTTTTTTTATTAAGGTAAACTTTCCAATTTATAACTCCATTATTAAGAAAACCGTTTATTCCAAATTATATTTATTTAAAATAAGAGTTTTATAAAAAAAAATGTGAAATCCTCAATGTTGCTGATGCGTGTGTAGAGTCCCGCCTTCGCCTTCCCATAGATACCAATGAAATCTGAAACAATAAACAACTGGATAAACATAAAGCTTATTGAGTTTCTCCCAAAATACCACCATATAAACACGTCACATATACAATCAAATATGTCAGGTTCAATCAACCATCGGGTTGGAATACCCCAGGTCTAGTTATCCTCGGGATGGAATACCCTAGGTTGGAATGCCAATATACAACAAGTCCAATCAGCCATTGGGCGAGAATACCCAGGGTTTGTTGGCCTGCCGCCTCAATCCTACCACTCCTCCCGAGCTTTCGTGCCTACAACTTACAGTCAGGCCGCACCGGGTATCTTGGCCTACAACACAAAGCAGGACCGCCTCAACCCAAACCAAACATAACATGTCGACATGTAAACAATCAAGATCAAGTAGGCACATAATACATGCAAATAACAATCATACAAGTCACTACCGCCTACTAGTCCTCTCACAGCATACAATCTTGCTACCAGCTAACCCCCATAGAATGCCTAACCATAAGTAACCAAAGGTGAGATAGCCACACGAACATATGATCCTACTCTAAAGCCACAACCAAACAAGGAACATGCCAGAGAGCCTAGACCAAGAGTTCTCAAGCTATCCTACATGACCTCAGACAACCATAAGGGCATTCCATAGTTGATAACCAACAATCACAAATAACATACAGTTCTACAGGTTATTACCACAAAGCAACATACTCAATACCAAGAGACAGATCTAATAGATCACTACAACATAGCAACATACTCGATACCAGAACACAGATCTAACCGATCACTACAACATAGCAACATACTCAATACCAAAACACAAAATCTAACAGATTACTACAACATAGCATCATACTAAATATCAACAATCCAAAGAATGCATGGTCATTTATACTCAGAGGTGAGATAGTTACCCTAACATGTGATCCTGCTCTAGAACCATAACCAAACAAGAAACAGGTAAGAGGGCTTAGTTTTAGAGTCCCCAATCTATCCTACATGACTATATACAGTCATTAGGGCATCATTCTACTAACCAAAACTAGTGGGCCAGCATTGATTCCTTCGACCCACGAGTATAGTGAGGCCAAACTCACATCGATGTGCTCGTAGATAACCACTATAGAAATGAAGAAGTCTACCAGACTCAACTCACTTCCAATCACACACATGAAGATATTTGAGTCAATACCTGATCACAGGTCATAGTCACTTCCAACAGTGACCACCTCACATGAAATGACGATTAGGGTTTCACATAAAATGACGATTAGGGTTATGTTAGAACACTTAACCCATTAAGGATTAATCACCTAATGGTGGTATTGATTAAGGTTTGACTTAATCATTCTCAGGTAAAATTATAATCCAATAAACAACCCA